AAAAGAGAGCCATGCCCTATGAGCGGCTCTAGAGCAACTACACAGAGGCTGCCCTGGTCACCTTACTATGTGCCATGACAAGTGTCGCATGTATGCGGCCTCGCAAGGAAAAATTCATTCTCATACCATGTTTATTAGGCAAATACAATGAGATAAATAATTTTTGTCTTTTATCAGTGAAAAATAAAATGAGAGTCATCACCTAGTATTTAGTTACTAGGAATCTTAACTAATCTTAGAGATTAGGTACGGGGGGTGATTATGTAAAGGAAAAGTATTAACACTCAAAATACGTCATATCTAAGGTAAGCTGCATTGTTTTATTGTCTGATAAAATCTAAAGTCTTATTGTGTTTTCTAGTTGGTCCATCTATGGTTTAAGAAAAGTCTTTCTTGATAAGGAGATCCTTATCTTATCAGGTAAAACTTAACCATTCTAACGTCAATAAAAAAATTTATATCCAGAATATATGTTATGTATAAAAGTCGTAATCCCATATATTAAAAGGAAACAAACTAATTTTTTTTTTGGATTTTTTGAAATATTGACCTATTTCTCATGATTTTAATAAACTGGTTATTAAAGGTAAAATACGTGCTAAGATATGTATATTTTTTTTGTTATATGAAACTAATGATATGTATGTGTGTATGTGTGTTTTTGAGAAGCTTGGTTGTATATAAGAAAACAAAGTAATTTTTTTAATTTTTAAATTTTTAACAAAAATTAAGTATTTTAATACTAGATTTGTATCTTTACAATATAAAAATACAAATTAAGTAAAATTTAGTAAAAAAATATGCAGAAAAATTATAAATTTTTTAAAATAAAATTAATTTTGTTTTTGTTTTTTAACTTGACTTATATAATTGGACTGGACTCACAGAACTAGCTGAGTTATTGGCCCACGGACAAGGGCAGGTGTGAGCTTCCTCATGCGTGCATGCTCACTGTTCAGGTGATTTATTGATCACTTGAACAGTAAAGAGCAACAATTGCTTTTGAAGTGAATTGAATTATAATTCGAACAGTAAAACACCAAAATGAAAAATACCAAAATGCATGCAATGAAAGAACAGATGCAACGTGAAGAGAATGTATGAAGCTTACCTGGTAACTGAGACAGACGAAGACGATGGCGATGAAACTTCTGCGCAGGATCGGTGGTGACTGGTTCGGGTGCAGCTGGAAGCGAAGCTGGCTCTTGGGGACGAAGACGATGGTGAAGCTGACAGGTCAATGCTACTCGCCTCTTCAGTTCTTCCTCTATTCTTCCTTCCCTCTGTTTTTATGTTTTCTGTGTTCCGGTGTTATGCTCTCTCTGCGTTTACTCCCACTGTTATACTTCGCGTCGGTCTGTGCAGGGTGGGATGCAACCGGAGACGAGGCTAGCTGATGCTCGTGCGTTGGCTGGCAATGCTTCTCTGTGTTTTTTTTTCTCTCCCTCCCCTGTTCTGCTCTCTTCCCCGTTTTTCTTTCTACCTCCCCCTCTGTTCCACTCTCCCTCTCTGTCTCCTCTTTCTCCCTCTATTTCTTTCTTTCTTTGTTCGTTTTTTTCTGTGTTCCCTTTCTTGTTCCCTTCTCTGCTCCTTCTCCGTTCTCCTCCTCCCCTCTTTCAGTCCATCCTCTGGCTTTTATAGCCAGAGGATGCAGGTGTTTTCGGTTGTTATTGCAGAGACAAAGTAACGGCCGGCGTGCATCGTGGTGGCGAGAGATATCAGCCGTGAGACATGCCCCATTGATTGAAGAGAATTAGTGCATTTGCTGCTGTAACGTCTCTCGGCCAGCTGCATGAAACATCTTCTGAAGAAGACGGTGAACAGTGCTCAAGGAAACAGCGTTGCCAAATTTAAACTAATATTTTCGATTTGATCCTTGAATTGTTTTGCAATTTTGTAATCAAGCCTTTGAACAAATTATAATTGGATTTCTGAACTTTAATTTCTTCTCAATAAAAATCAAATTAACTTAATTTTTTTAATCAACAGGACTCTTATTGATAAAAAAAAATATTATTAAATTTTAATTTTTATATTTTTGAATCTCAACCAATTTATAACCATTTTATAAGCATTCTAATATCCTTTTTTTATTACTATTATTTTTTGAATTTCTTCCATAAATTTTTATATAGTTTTTTGTATTTCTTATTTTTTTATATAAAATCCATAAATGGATAACAACAATAGATGCAGGGTAGATCACACTCCCCCTACCCCTGTAAATACACCCACCCTCACCAGGTGGTGAGAGGAAGAGAAAAAAATGGAGAGAAGTAAACGAAAGACAAAGAAGCAGAAGGAGACTTGAAACGTGAAAAACAGACATATTTTTACAAGGGAGAGAGAGGATGAAAAAAGAGAGAGAGAGAACCAAGGAGAGCAAGAAAAACAAAGAAAAAGAAGAAAGGAAAGAGACCAAATTAGAAGAGAAAAAATGAAAAAGAAAAACAAAGAGGAATAGAGATAGAGAGGAGAGTGAAAGAAGAATAGAACAAAAACCAAAGCAAAAGAAGAAGAAGAAGAAGAAGAGAAACAATGGAGGAGAACAGAAATAAAAAGAAAAAGAAATACTGGAAAACAAAAGAGAAAAGATGAAAAACCATCGGGAACCACCGCTTTCCGCTACAACACTATCATCCTGAGCCACCACAAATCCACTTCCATCTCTCCTTCTCCTTCTTCTCTACTTCATTCCTTGTCTCCATTGTTATGCAAATGAATAGTGGAGAGTTTTTCCATTGTTTTCTGGGTTGGATTAGTGTTGGCCCAAACCAAAATGGCTGGGCGGGTCTTGCCAAGTGTAAAAAAACACAGAGAAATTGTATATGGGACCAACATCAGTCCACCATCTTTAGGTCGAGCGATGAAAGTTCTCTATATATTTAACTTTCATTGCAAGTGAACTTTTATTTTTAATTTGCTAATTTTTGTTTATTAAAATATTTTTTTAATTAAATGATAATATAAATAGATAAATATATTGAATTGATTAAATAAAATAAAAAAATATAATAATATGCAATGCTATGCATATTAAAAATATTATATGAAAATAAATATTTTTTAATTTAAAAAGTATAGTTTTCCTTATTCTTTTTTTTCTAGAATTTTCACCAAATTTTTTCAAATCCCTTTGAGAGGCATTTTCATCAATTCTCAATTATGGAGATTTTGACAAACGCGTTATTGAAAATTTCATTTGCATGCAGTCATTATTCAAACGATGTAAAGTGTAAACCAGTGTAAATCTTCCGCTAGTGTATGGTAATAATATTGAAGAATAAATAAAGAAAGAGATATCCATGCACAAGGATGGCTCGATAAGGAAATGAACTTGGCTTGTCCTCCTCGTATTCTTGTAAGAAGTGATCAGATGTTTGCTAATATTTAACGCATATATTTGGGTTTTCAATAGTTTTCTTTTTTTTTAAAAAAAAAATAAGAAGTAAAAACCTGTATACTATTTCGAGCTAATAGTTTTCTTTCGAACCAATTAAGACCGGTGCTTATGACAACTCTCTTTCGCAACTTTACTTCCATGACGAGCATCTCTCGCAACATCAATTAACTGTATTGTTGCAGCCGACGCCCCCATCCCTGTTGCAGTTGCCGTGATTGGATCACTAACCACCATCATTGCCGTCCCCACCGTTAACCCCGCCACGACCCCCGCACCCATAGTGAGTCCTTTCTTAATTTTTTCTTTCTTGATTTTCTTCTTTTCAGCCTTCACAAGAACACACCAAGTATTACATGACTATTAAGTAGAATATTTCAAAAAATATATATAATGTTTTATATGAATATATTTAGTATGAAATTAGGAATCTTATAATTTTCTTAATTTATCTCAGTATGGAAGTGTTTAGTAGGCAACATAAATTCTTGAATATATGTTTTTGGATGATTTTGAGTCAAAACAAGAAAATTAACGTCATGGTGAAGTATTTAAAGAAATTAAAAATTCCAAAGATCTAGAAGTTATATTGAAAAACAGAAGGTGTAGAAAAATAAGAGGGATGAATTTTAACGAGATTTTTTAAAAAAAATAACTAACTGGGCACAAAATAAAAAATAAAAAAGGAAAGAAAGCATGAAAATAAGAAGGAAAATTATACAAAGAAAAAGAAAATTATCAAAGCCCATGCGTACAAGTGCCTATTAGCCAAACTCGGATATGCATTATAAGGCACAAAGATACAAGGGAAAGCTGGCATGGATTTTAATACATGAACCAAGGAAATTACCTTATATTCGGCTTTCTTATCGGATTTAAGTGTCTCTATTTCCCCGCGGAGTCTATCCTTGACATTGACTTCTGCAGCAACCCAACCTTTAACCCTTTTTTTTATAGTTGCATCTGATAGAGAGCAGGGTATTAATATACAACAAAGTAGTATATAGAATACTATCCCAAGTTTTAAGAGAATAATAAAAAAAAGAAACAGATAATATGTGCATATACAACATTACATAACCTTCACATCCTTTCTCAAATTCGAGCATGCTCGACTGACCACAAGAATCAACAAAAGCTTCAAATTCATCTCCTCGTTTCTCCCTCACCGTCTTTTCCAGACTCCTCACCGTCTTTTCCAGCTTAGTCTTAAAGCTTTTCAATGCAATAGAACGTAGATGTTGCAGCATGACAGCATAAGCTGGGTATACAAACTACACCACAGACCAGAAACTTAATCACTGGCAACCGTGACTATCTTAAGTCAAAATAGAAAAATATTGCAGGCATTATTACTATATTATTGGTTATTTTTTAAAAGTATTTTTTATTTGAAAATATATTAAAATAATCTTTTAAATTTTTTTTAATATTAGTATATTAAAATCAGAAAAAAATATTTTAATATTTTTTCAAAATAAATACACTCATAAATATTTAAAAAACAAAAACAAAAACAAAAACTACCGCATTAAAGATAGGACATAAGGAGCACCCAATTACGAAAGCTAATGAAAATGGTCACACATTAAGGCCTCACTTGTAGGGCTTCGGTTTCTAACCGTTGCCGTTTGTCTTTTCTAATGCTTTCTTCATAATCCATCGCCTCTATGTCATATCTATTCAAAAAGCAATATTGTATGGTCCATAAGTAATATTAGAGACTCCCCAAAATTATATCCGTTAAAAATAACAAACTTTATTAATAGAATGTGTCATTACAATTAACCAATTAAAAACACACACACAATCAAATAGTTATAAAAATAAATTATATTCTTTAATTATTCAAAATTCTTGATTTAATCATTTGATGTAATACTTGATTTTTTTATAATTTTTTAAATTAACTTAAATATTCGAGTCAGTTTGTATGCATCTCGACTAATAATACAAGTTTAAAGTTAATGATTATATAAATCTCTAATAACTTTAATATTTATGAGACTCAAACTAGTAATCTTTAAATAATAAACTCAGACTAATTGAGCTACACCCCTCATAGTTGGTTTTTTTATAAATAATTGTATTGATTGCATTTCAATCTAAAATATACTATTTTTATTTGTTTCCTCAACATGCCTTTCTCAAATTTATAGTGATTTAAATAAATAAAAATCTTCATGAGTTTAATATCTATATTACAAAATAATATTGAAATTTTAATGAATATTTTACAGCAAGATGTAACTTACTGAGAAAGATAGTTTTCCAAAATAGAGCTGAGCTTTTTCCCAAACTCTGATACGGGGCCGGATTTAAGAGCTTTACTCATTGCCAACCAAGTCTGAATAAAATCAATTTGATATTATTGAGTGATATAAATTATACAACAAGGTTGTGCAGTAACATTTGAAAGAAGAAACCAAGGAAAAAGAAATACCGCATCCAATTTCAAGCTACTGAGCTTCTCCTTGGCAATCTGTTCACATCGAAATGTGGCAACCATCACCTGGTAAACAAAATGGAGAAACATATTCACACAAGAAAATCTAATTAAAATGAATATTTTTTGCAAAAGAAGTCAGCATTTCAATAAACCTCCAAAGCAGGAAGATCCAGATCCTTGTTTTCCTTTATGGTTTTCCATATCTGTTCTGCACGAAGGGGAAAGCCTGAAGCAGGTTGAACATCCTTCCTATCACCAACAAGACCTCCAGGAGAGATGAACCACTGCCTCAGCAGAGCAACCTGTAAAATACATCACAAAAAACATCATTTAAGGGTTTGAATCAAGAAACCACTCAATCTTTTAAGAAGTTATATAAAATCATTCATCGATTTTTTTAATATAAATCACTTTAAAACTAGTTAGAGTTTCTAATAAACAAAATACTAGATATAAATTGTTTTTTTTTGTTTTTATTAATAAAAAACAAAAAAATTATATTCCTTGTCCTTTACACTTACATTGTTTTAGATTATCTTGACCCAAAAAAATAATCATGCGTGGCACTACACGTATGCAACATCTATTATAAAATTTATTCTTAAACTAAATTACCTTTTATCTTTAGTATAATTTATTGAAATTTTTTTTCGCATTCTAAAAATTTATTGAAATAGTATTTTCTAATTATTAAAATTTAAATTAATTCAGATAAAAATAAGAAGTATATAAATTGAAGCTTTCAGAATTTTAATTACCATATGATATGTTATGAAATAAATATTTTATTGGTATATAATATTTAAAATCATAAAAATAATATTTAACAATAAAAGGAAAAATGTTTCAAAAAATTAAGTATGGTGGTAAGCAATTATTAAAAAATATGATAAAACTTAAATATCTTCATTACAAAACAAGACTTCTATTAGTTATATTACTACTTATAAATTTAATGCTATCATTTAATGTCAATATTTGTGAAAAATAAAATTATCATCATTCGTGAAAAATATAATTAGAAGTATTTTGATATATTTGCATTAAAAAATAGAATATAGAGTGGATTAAAGATCTATAAAATGAGAATAACACAACCTCCTACTCCTCCTCTTTACATTAATATACAATTCAAGTAAATTCCTGATCACTAGTAATGTGAATCTAATAGTTTTCTCTCTAGCTTCTCGTCCTACGATGGATCTCAACTTATACCTTATCTGTACATAACACTTCCTCACCCTGAAAAAAAAAAAAGCTACTTAAACTTACCTGCTCATTAAACCTCTCCTTCTCGTGTATATAGTTAGGCAAAGCAATGATCTCCACCTTAATTTCAAAAAAATAAAATAAAATGAAAAAGATTTATTAATAATAAAAACAGAAAGACAAAGCTTTAATTAACATTTTTCAAAGAACCATAATAATAATAATAATATCATAGATAAGGAAGATGAAATCAACCCACATTAAAAAAATCACCCAGAGTCTGAGCCTTGGGTTTAGCAGCTGCAGCCCATATCTGTATAATTTAGAAGAGTAAAGAACATGCATAATTAAGAGGAATTATTTGACAACAATTGTCTCACAATGATCAAGGGAGAGCACATGAACAATATCGCACCTGATCAATATCTCGCCTCAGAATATGTTTTAGACGTTCAAGTGGAGTCTACATGAACACTCAGAAGAGACAGATTCACCCGTATATATTAATATATGACAGATTAACACTAAGAGACACAGATGTAATTAAACGATGTAAATCTATGTTTAGGGACAGAGCACAAATTAAACACTACCGGTGTTTGGTCGCGTAGAACAAACAACAGGGTTGTTTTGCGGGCGCCAAATAAACGCGTCATGGCCTGCATGTAAACGGCAGCAATTGGGATGTCATTCATCCTTCGGATTCTATTATAATAGGCTCAAAGGAAAATGGTTAGAGTACCTCAAAAACTGTTTTCAAAAGGGGTCTGCTGGCAGCTTGTTCTCGACCAATGTCATGGCACCACCTGTATACAAAGATAATTCAACACGAGTTGATTCTTGAATTCGTTGACTTTCCAGCATGTGTCGTGGCTGATTACCAGCAAAGGAGAGCTTAAACAAAAGCGAGGAACTTATAATAGCTTGATTGTAATATTCATTTTAATTTCTGTCCCAATTACCAGTATCTTGCTTTATTTTAGATGCAAAAATAAAGGGGAAGATATTCACAAATTAGAAATAAGGATACGAAAATATTAGGAATAATTAAACTCACATGTTTATTATTACAATGTCAGCAATTGCCAAAGCAAAGAGAGCACTTCGCTTTTCAAATGTTGTTGTGCCGTCCTGAAAGCAGATATCATAAAATTAATCTTTAAATTGCAGTACCGTAGCTATAATATATGGAATTAATTTGACACTCGCTATTAAATCTCTAATAACAATATTGTTGATAGAAACACAAGTCGGAGAATAATTTTATTGAATTTTAATTATTACAATTAAAACTCTACCTAAATTAATCAACTTAATAAAGGCTTAATTAAGAGTTTATGATTCATAATGACCATATGTGGCTACTAATAATTAAAGCCATGGCGTCATATCAGTTATGTTACACCTTCCTACATATATAAGAATAGACTGTGATTATTTCATAATGACCATATGTAGATACTAGTTTTAAAGTACAATCTTAGAAAGTCGAAAGCAAACTTTTTGAACACTTGGGGCTAGACAAAGAAATCACCATTGGCGATTAAGCACAGCTAATTATTTAAAACAATCAATTGAATTTTTTCTGTACAACAAAATCATGTAATGTTAGATGCAAAGCAAGCTTAATTAATTTATACTTGGCCTCTTTCGCTGCTGTCCGATCCCTCCACATCGATGGCAATTGTGAAAGGCTCAATACCAATACCCTTCCCAATCCAAATCCCCTGGGTTGTTTGACCCCTGAAAATATTAGCTAATTAAACCATCTTTCATATCATGGCGCAAAACCAGAATATATAGACGAATCCTCATTGATAAAACAAATTAAAAACACCAAACCTTCCTTCATATGCATCCATCATCGTGAAATCTGTCCGAAAGAGCTTATTCAAGAGGGTGCTCTTCCCTGTTCACCAAACAAGGCAAATTAAACAATTTACATGCTTTCTCTGCATGCTAAGTGTGCGATAAACACACATATACGGTACAGATCACTACAGCAAATATCTAACCACTATTGATACAAAAGAAAAAGAAAATGTGACTCTTGTTATTAATTGTACATAAGAGAAAAAAGTTACGGTACAGATCACTACAGCAAATATCTAACCAATATTGATACAAAAGAAGAAAAAAAAGGTAACTCTTGTTATTAATTGTACATAAGATACTAAAAAAATTGCAAGTATACCGCTACTTTGGGGGCCAATAATTGCAACAACAGCATAGGAGAGACGACGCTGTGCGAGGTTAGTGGTCCTCGTGAAGTTTTCGAGTCCTTTCACTTTTAAGACACCGTCACCGCTAATGAGTTGGAAGCTGCAACAATCTTCCGCCATTATTATTGTATAACTCAGCCCAACAACTCTAGACGTGTGTTTAAGGAACAAGAATTTTACGAACGAGAAGTGAAGGGATGGAAGGGATTTTATAGACAACTCAACTTTTGATTTTCGATTTTGTAAGCTCACGCCACCATGTGGAAAAACTGGGACAGTAGGGTCCATGATAATTATATCCAAGCATTTAAACTAATTTATTTTTAACTTGAATTAATTAATTATACAAACTCAAGAATTGGTACTTGTTCTTCTTTTTTATATTTGTCAGAGGTATGTTTACCCAACCGCAAGTGAACGTAAGTGAGACATAAATGTTACTCCACAATTGAATCCTTCCGTGGGAATTTATATGTTAATCATATCCAAATATAGTTATTATACCGGTTCAGAAATTAACTGGTTAAAAAGTTTGGTATTCGGTAATACAAGTTGATTTAGATTAATCTCAATTAATATACCGCTACTTTGGGGGCCAATAATTGCAACAGCAGCATAAGAGAGACGACGCTGGGCGAGGTTAGTGGTCCTCGTGAAGCTTTCTAGTCCTTTCAAGTTTAAGACACCGGCACCGCTAATGAGTTGGAAACTGCAACAATCTTCCGCCATTATTACTGTATAACTCAGCCCAACAGCTTTAGACTGTGTTTAAGTAACAAGAATTTTACGTACGAGAAGAGAAGGGATGGAAGGGATTTTATAGACAACTCAGCTTTCGATTTTCGATTTTGCAAGCGCACACCATGTGGAAAAACGGGGACACTATTAAGGTAGACTTGACAGCTAGGACTATAAGGGCTTAGAATTCTGCTGTGTACAGTTTTACTAGACAAGTGGCACACAACTTGGATTGGGTTTGACTGAGGAGAGAACGCCTGCTTTGAAAATTCAAGCAAAGTCACCTGTCGATTCGAGGCATCTTGCGAGGAATCCGAACGAGCAGTCTCTCTACTCCTTTGCGTTCGAGTGGATTGGCCTGCCTGTCCAAAACCACTGGCTCCAATTTTAATCCTACAATTAGATTTTATTTTTTGTTTCTGTAGAAGGACTTCAATTTCGATCCTGCCCTATCAAGAAATTGTTCAGATTTTCACCGTGGATCCATTGAAAGTTTAACCGGAGTAGATATTATTTTTATTAATATAAATTAAAATTTTTTAGAATTATATCCAAGCATTTAAGCTAGTTTATTTTTATCTTGAACTAATTAATTCTAGATACTCAATAATTGTTACTTGTTCTTCATTTTTATATTTGTTAGATGTATGTTTACCCAACCGCAAGTGAATGAAAGTGAGACATAAATGTTATTCCATAATTTAACCCTTTCGTGGGAATTTGTAGGTCTATATAATAAATAAATAAATTTATTTTTTAAATATTTTAAAACAAAAAAACAAACTATATCTAACCCGTGAGTGAATAATTTAGTGCCAGCTGATGTCAAGTTGGGTTCCGAATCTAAATTGGCACTTGTTAGCCATCCACGTGTGAATAGAAAAA